TGGATTTAATAAATAAGAAGTAGTAAATATAGCAGACGATAGATAGGAAACGGAGGCGCCGGCGTGTGAACTGGAGCTCGTCTCATAAATGAACCGAAACTCAGCATATAAGGTAGCTTACTTGCCTCACATGTCTACTTTTAAACAGAACAATTTAAAACGAAAGAAAACAGACTACAGACTGCTCTCTGCTTATGTAATCCTTATGAAATGTGCATTTCTCTCTGGCGCGTTTCTTTGTGAAGAACAGCGGTGGTTGTTACTGGCTATTTAAATCTAGCGGGTTTGATGTCTCGCAAATAAAATGACGCTGGTAGTGACGATTCTGTCTGACCAATCAGTGATCTGCAGTGTGTTCACGTCACATTTTAGTATCGGTACGGTACGCTTGGAACCTCGACAGAGGTGGTACCATTTAATGCGAGCCGAAGTGAGCCGTACCGTGCCATACCATGCAGTGGAAAAGCGCCACAAGTGAGCCGTACCAAGCCGAGCCGTACCGTACCATGCAGTGGAAAAGCGCCAAAGCGTGCCGTGCCGTACCGTACTATGCAGTGGAAAAGCGCCATTAGATGACAGTTCATGTAAATCATTACCATATTCTTATTGATAATTTACATTACTGTAATATTGTAACAGGTAGTATATTAAGACAAGAGAAGCACATATGCAGTTTAACAGTTTATTGATGCAGCAGAGGAGCATAAACAAACAGGTGAGTATATGGTAATAGGCAGGTTGTAATAATAAACTGAATGAATTAACCAGCCCTTTATCTTTGCAGGGATAGTGAGAGATTGTGATGGCTTAATCCTGGAACGTACACACCTCAGTTGCTGCATGTAAGTAAAATCGAGATGAGTAGGTGAGTAAATGGTGACAAGGAAGCATGACGATGGGGACAGACGAAGGAGCAGAGATCCTCAGAAGAGACAGGGGGGATCACAAGGACCAATGGAGATCAGGATCGCTGGAGGTAGGTATCACAGGTAAATGTTTCTTTGGTAGGAAGTCCTTTGTCTGTATTGGGACCACGCAATTAATGCACCTGAGGTGTGTGATTATGCAGTGGCTGATGAGGTGCAGATGGGAAACAGGTGCAGTGGATTAGTATTCGGGAGATAAAAGTGTTGGAGTGAAGATGGAGCTTGGTGAATCCGTGACAAATATTCTTTTGCTCATTTAAAATTCTTAATTCGTAATATGAATAATATGTAAGGATTATTCAATTAAATTTGATGGAATTTTACTATATAATTGAAATTCGTGAGTCTTAAAAAGTGCAAAACAAACAAATTATATATAAATACTTAACAATTTCAGTAATATATATTTTTTTCACATGGCAGTCATTGGAATTTGATATATTTATTCATTTATTTTTGCATTGCAGAAATGAAATGGAGTTCTCATGCGTACTGGAAAACCTGTAATTTCCAGCCAGAGAAAATTAGAAAAAAATACCTAAGTGTGCAGAAGAATGATTATATGTTCTGGAAAATATTTTTGTATAGTAAAATTGTCAGTAACAATGCTTTTGTACAAAAAATAGTCAATACTAGGGATAGGTACAAATGTGTTTCACCAAGGTCAGCAGCTGTGCATTGTTATGCAACATCAGCAGGTGAACGAATGAAGTCACATACAAAGATTAGTTTCTCTGCTCATTTCATTTGCTGTCATGCCTGTGTTCTAACACTGTTTAAATACCAGCCAGTTGGGACTGCTGTTAGTCAAAAGATGATAAGGTAATAATAAAACTGTTCAGTAAAATTAAGAGTGATGGTTGTCAAACACTAGTAATGCAACATGTACATGCTAATATTATTATATGTCACAGTTGTTGTGATAATCAAACAGGAACAAAGAAGAATACTAGTAAACTGAAAGGAAATACAAGAAACAGAAACACAAGAATGAAATGACAACTAAACTTAACATAACCCTGACATTACAGACGTCAGGGTTAAAGACGTCTGTAAAGTGTAGATTAAAGACGCATCTCTTCAGCCAAGCATTCACATAATGCTTACCTTTTATACCACTGTTGAATCAGATCGAATGCATTAATATTATGAACAGCAGCTACGCTAATTATTTCCCATCTGCTTTTCTGCTGTTATCTCGGGACGCTAGTCCCGAGGTAAATAGCGTTCGTCAGCTCCAGTTTGTATCCAGCCTCTCACGGAGACTTCTGATGCCCCAACGCCTGCGATGAGACGACTCGACGCCTGTGAAGAGACGACTCAACGCCGGCGATATGTTATGCCCTAAATTAATACATGATGATTAACTAACTATATTCTTCTATGTACATTTCTGAAATGCACTTTCTGTAAAGCTGCTTTGAAACAATATGTATTGTGAAAAGCGCTATACAAATAAATTTGAATGAATTGAATTGAATTACCCCCCACCAAATGGTCGTCCTCGCACTGTAAACAATAGTCCAACTGTGGGTGGCAGGTGGGGGTCTTGGAGGTGAACGAGGAGCTGGTGATGGACAGGGAGCTCGAGGAGCCAGTAGAGGGAGCCAACGGAAGGAGGACCTGGGGACCGACTGACGGAAGGAGAGCCGGAAGAGGAGACCCAAGCGGAGCCAACAGTACGACTGTCCTGGGTGACACAGCAGGACTGGGAGTCCAAGGCGGAGCCGCTTGCTCGCGGGACCGAGGTAGAGACGGGGTCCCGAAAGACCAGGGTGAAACCAGAGGGAGCGAGGACAAAGGAGGAGGCGGAGGGAAGGATGAGCCCGGTGTAGTCGAAGGGGTGGAGGGCTGAGGCGCAGCCAGAGGCCCGTAAGTCTGCGACGGATCCAGGATGACGAAGGACCAAGGTGGAGCCCAAGGGATGACAGTGGAGCCGAGGAAGAGTAGAGCCAAGGTGGAGCCGACAAGCTGACAGGCCAAGGTGGCGTCATGGGCCTGGAGGGAATCCACTTCACAAGGCAGAGCTGGTGGTGAAGAAGCCGAGGCGGAGCTGGAGGAAGCCAGCGGCGAGAGCAGAGCAGAGGAGCTGAGTGGTACCAGCGAAGCAGCCGAGTCCAGGCAAGTGCATGGAGCCAGTGGAGAGAATGGGAACAATCAGGTGGGAAGGATACCGGGCGGGAACATTCAGGTAATTTACAGAGACAGACTGAGGAGGAGAGAGTTAAGGGGTATGGACTGGCTCTGTGGTCCACAAATCAATAAGCCAGCGCTACTCTTCTGGCTCTGGGGTGGACTGCTCTGTCAGCACTGACTCCAAGACGAGCCTGGCGGCAAGCTCTAGCCTCAAGATGGTTCAAGCTCCGGGGCGGACATAATGGCTGGCTCTGGCTCCGTGGCTGGAGGGGGCTCTAGCGCACGGTCCCTGGTGGGCTCAGGCTCTGGTTCCATGGTCGTGTCCGTTGTCTGGTCTGTGGCGGAAGTTTATTCTGCCGTTGTGGGACACTCCGGGCTGAGATGATGAGTTATCCTGTTTGGAGCGGGAAGAGAGATGGCTGCTGGAGGTGGTACTGGTTCTGGGGAGTCAGAGCTGATGTTGTCTTCCTTGACGACTCCCACTGTCAAGGAGGATCCGCACACCCACAAGGTGTTACCGGTAAAATCAATCAGGGGCCTGTGACCCCCTGTTCTTCAACAGAAGCATTTGGCCTAAAATGTCATCCATCCCACTCCAGAATATGTATTTTAGGGCCTCATCATCCCAGCGAGCCTCATGGTACAGCTCAAGAAACTCCTCCAGGTACTCCTCCAGTGTACGTCCCTTTTTAACTAAGCAGTCCATGTTGTTCTTATTTGTGTTTACTTGTCTTTGTCTGGGTCGCCTCTTCTGTCATAGTTGCTGTGGTAATCAAACACGCACGAAGAATAATACTCTTTCTATAATCTTAAATAAACAAATCAAATACGCAGGAGGTCGTTGGAGAATAAATAAGCAGGAATAATAAATAAGCAAAACCATACGCAAAACAATGATGGCAACTGACGAGAGCTATATATACAGGGGGAAAACAAAGGCAACTAACTAGACACGGGTGAGACTAATTAGTAACTAAGGCAAGGTTTCATCAAGAACTAAACTGAAAGGAAACACAAGAAACAGAAACACAAGAATGAAATGACAACCAAACTTACAGTAACATAACCCTGACAATATAGATGTCAAATGACAACATTGTACTGTATATTCAATTAGTCCCTATTTCTTGTTGTATAAAAACATTAAAATGCATATGATCACACTATAGCATTGCTTTATGATTCATGAGATCCACCCAATTCTTGCAATTGCATACAGCTCTCCATCAACGTGTTTAATAGATTTCCCAGAGTTATAGCCTTAAACTCCTGTTGATACTCAAGCAGTCAAACAGAAGCAGTAGCTGTTTTCTATCTCTCTCTCAATTTCTGGATTCTCATCAGTTATCCCTGTTGTATGGTCCCAATCTACAGGCTGTGCTCGAGGAATTCCTGGTAACACTCCTCTCTTCCGGGCAATTCTAATTGAACTATAAACATATTTTGTGGTGATATATTCAGTCTCCTGCTATAGGCTGTTAAAAGAGGATGTTGTCCAGAGGCTACACTGACAGTGATATGCAATCACTGTGAGGGAGCCAGACATTAAACACGCTGTATCTATAAAGAACTGTCAGGAGATAGAGTCAACATGCTGGAGTAGTAGAAACAGAAAAGGGCTCTATATATCAGTCATGTAGCGCAATTGAGAGGCTCACTCCCTAGAGCGCCGCAGATCACCCAAAGAAACCTAACCTAAACCCAACCTAAACAAACCAAGAGAAGAACATCATTTATGTGCCAAGCTGACTGACAAAGTAAAATTCAAGTTCCCATAATGATGTGTTTCATAAAACTTGTGTGATTGTAAAAATAAGTATATATTCTTTGCAAATATTCTTTCATTTATGTATTAATTAGTTCATCGATTATATGGATGATGTGTGTAGGTGTTTCTTAAACAGTGGATATATTTCTACTCTATTCTTATTATGTTAGGACAGCAAGGACCTCTCAGGATCTACATCTTCAGGCGCTACATTGGGCGTGGATCTCTGGCGAGGCCCCCGACGGCACTCAGGAACCCTTGTGTTGCCGCCGCTGTCATGGAGACAGACAGAGAGGGCCCGCAGTCCTCAAGAATATCACGTTTCCAGACCTACGTCACTGGGCTTCATTACTCCACCACGTATAGATATCACACCAGTTCCCCCTGATAGGTAAGCTCATTTTTGAATGCATCGGCACATAAATATTTCAAGATGACACAAAGTTGAACTTTTAAGTGCTTTGTATTAAAATTTGCATTTTATTGTACTTTGCAATATGCAAAATACTACTACTAATTCTACTACTAATAACAATATACAATGCACTAAGGATTGATGTGCTGCTGGGTTCATGAATATTAATCACGTTGTCAGTGTTCGTTTGAACTGATTTGCTGAAATCAAAATGGGACGGTAATAGATGAACACCAGCCAATGAGATTGGAGATTGCGCATTAGTTCTGCCCACTACCAGAGAAACCGGCATTTTCTTTTTTTAATTTAATAATGTTAATTATTCTAAACCTTTGACTGGTAGTGTGTGTGTATATAATATACACCCACCTAAAGGATTATTAGGAACACCTGTTCAATTTAATTTCTCATTAATGCAATTATCTAATCAACCAATCACATGGCAGTTGCTTCAATGCATTTAGGGGTGTGGTCCTGGTCAAGACAATCTCCTGAACTCCAAACCAGGGCCGGAGTGGGGCCACTTTTCAGCCCGGGAGTTTCAGGCCCAAGACCGGCCCACTTTTTCCATGAAGGAAATTGGATAAATGAAGCAACAGTTCAGCTCTTACTATTGTGTAGTTTTTATTAATACCATGGTTCAACAATAATGTAAAGGTTAAATAATAATTCACTTAATCTGGGAAGTTAACAAAAAATATCATGGTCATTATCATTTTTCTGCATGGGTATCAAATTGTGGTAATTTACTCCTTTACTACACCCACTTCTGAACAAACAATACATTTTGGTTTATCATGTACCATCATATACTGCTCTTTCTTAAAATAACAGAGGGATTTATGGATATCTAATTTTGTTATCCTGTAAATCAGAATATACTGTCAATAGCCTTTAAAAAAAAAAATTCACCATGTTTTTTGGAATAAAATGTTATATAAATCAGGCTAGGAATAATATATTTACAAATCCCTCTGTAAATGTCTTCATAATATAACTAAGTACAAGACTGGAAAGTGTGGTGTATATAGGTGCTACTGAAGTGGAGATGTCCAACTTGGAGTATGAGAGAAAGGTAATTTTGAGAAAATGGGCTTTAAAGATTTAGCATCAGCCAATGAGATTGCGCATTCAGAGTTAAATCCCCCCTTTTACTTTCACGATTGGTTGCTGATAAAAAGGAAATGACCATATTTGGATCCGACAGCATTGTACAGGAGAGAGAGAGAGAGCTTTCTAACGGCGTGTGTGATGACAGGGTGCAGACAGCGATCGCGGAGCAGCGGGATGATTTATATCGCCAACTTTTGATGAATTTATGAGAAATCTACAGACGCAAACAGACAAAATGTTGTAAGATAAAGACCTAAATGTGTATTTCGGACTTTTTTCCACCACAAGTCTGAAAAAAGACAAATAGGTCTACCCCAAAATCTCAAAATTGACCAGTAAAAAATGATGTTTTTGCCTGCCGTGTCTCGCCTTTGCTTGTGAATAGGTTGACATGCTAATCATTACTAGGCCTATCTCTCTGTACCTGTTGCCACTTGTGTTTGTCCTCTTGAAAATAAATCTGTAAGCTTGGCACATTTGGCAGCATCCTCCTCCAATGCCTTTCTTTTTTTCAACCTGGCTTTTTCAACCCTCCGTACTGGCCTCTTCCTCCCATCCATCCATCCTCCCTGACGCGTACAGTAACGGTAGGGCCGGCCCAACTAGCCTATCGGTAGCCTACTACTACTACCTGAGAAAACGTTTTGAAAAAGACGGGCTATGGACCCAACCAACTCTATTTGGAAGAGGAGGGGAGAACTCCCTTACATGGTACAACCCATGCAGTGGCTGCGCGCTGCGGTGTTAGAATGTGGAACGTGTGTAGCCTTTAAGAGAAGATTGACAACGTGACAAATGTCAAAAAAAAAAAAAAAAAAAATCTTCGACCGGCCCAAAAGTGAAGCGGCCCACCGGGAATTCTCCCGATTACCCACTCCGGGCCTGCTCCAAACTGAATGTCAGAATGGGAAAGAAAGGTGAAATTTTGAGTGTGGTATGGTTGTTGGTGCCAGACGGGCCGCTCTGAGTATTTCACAATCTGCTCAGTAACTGGGATTTTCACGCACAACCATTTCTAGGGTTTACAAAGAATGGTGTGAAAAGGGAAAAACATCCATTATGCGGCAGTCCTGTGGGCGAAAATGCCTTGTTGATGCTAGAGGTCAGAGGAGAATGGGCCGACTGATTCAAGCTGATAGAAGAGCAACTTTGACTGAAATAACCACTCGTTACAACCGAGGTATGCAGCAAAGCATTTATGAAGCCACAACACGCACAACCTTGAGGCGGATAGGCTACAACAGCAGAAGACCCTGTACTAAACTGTACTAAAATGGCCCCCACAGTCACCAGATCTCAACCCAATAGAGCAGGGTTGTGCCCAACCCTGTACTTTTTGTTTTTATTCCCATTATCGCATGTTGTTGCGCCAAAGTAACATACCTAGATCTACCCCTATTAATATAATTTTTGTAAATTATGTGTTGAATTGTTTAATGTGCTCTATGACTGGTAATAAAATGTGTGGAAATATTTTTTTTCTCTATTATTTCATATATCATGCAATAGAGGGTTAAGGCAGTTCTGTAGGCGAAAGGGGGTCAAACCCAGTATTAGTATGGTGTTCCTAATAATCCTTTAGGTGAGTGTATATATGTATATATTATAACAAAAAAAAAGTTGAGCTAACTTAAAATAAATAAGGCAACTTTTTAAGTTAGCTCAACTTTCTTTTACAGTTTATAGTAGTGTATGTTTAGAATTTCATAGAATGCTCTCCTTGATATACACTCACCGGCCACTTTATTAGGTACACCTGTCCAACTGCTCGTTAACACTTAATTTCTAAGCAGCCAATCACATGGCGGCAACTCAGTGCATTTAGGCATGTAGACATGGTCAAGACAATCTCCTGCAGTTCAAACCGAGCATCAGTATGGGGAAGAAAGGTGATTTGAGTGACTTTGAACGTGGCATGATTGTTGGTGCCAGAAGGGCTGGTCTGAGTATTTCAGAAACTGCTAATCTACTGGGATTTTCACGCACAACCATCTCTAGGGTTTACAGAGAATGGTCCGAAAAAGAAAAAACATCCAGTGAGCGGCAGTTCTGTGGGCGGAAATGCCTTGTTGATGCCAGAGGTCAGAGGAGAATGGCCAGACTGGTTCGAGCTGATAGAAGGGCAACAGTGACTGAAATAACCACTCGTTACAACCGAGGTATGCAGCAAAGCATTTGTGAAGCCACAACACGCACAACCTTGAGGCGGATGGGCTACAACAGCAGAAGACTCCACCGGGTACCACTCATCTCCACTACAAATAGGAAAAAGAGGCTACAATTTGCAAGAGCTCACCAAAATTGAACAGTTGAAGACTGGAAAAATGTTGCCTGGTCTGATGAGTCTCGATTTCTGTTGAGACATTCAGATGTTAGAGTCAGAATTTGGCGTAAACAGAATGAGAACATGGAACCATCATGCCTTGTTACCACTGTGCAGGCTGGTGGTGGTGGTGTAATGGTGTGGGGGATGTTTTCCTGGCACACTTTAGGCCCCTTAGTGCCAATTGGGCATCGTTTAAATGCCACGGCCTACCTGAGCATTGTTTCTGACCATGTCCATCCCTTTATGGCCACCATGTACCCATCCTCTGATGGCTACTTCCACCATGTCACAAAGCTCTAATCATTTCAAATTGGTTTCTTGAACATGACAATGAGTTCACTGTACTAAAATGGCCTCCACAGTCACCAGATCTCAACCCAATAGAGCATCTTTGGGATGTGGTGGAACGGGAGATTCGCATCATGGATGTGCAGCCGACAAATCTGCGGCAACTGTGTGATGCCATCATGTCAATATGGACCAAACTCCCTGAGGAATGCTTCCAGCACCTTGTTGAATCTATGCCACGAAGAATTGAGGCAGTTCTGAAGGCAAAAGGGGGTCCAACCCGTTACTAGCATGGGGTACCTAATAAAGTGGCCGGTGAGTGTAGTATAGCCTATTCTGTTATTGAATTCTATAATGATGTCAAATGCTGAATGCTTCTTTTCATAGAATTTTGTCTTGACACGGCACTCAAATCACAGTTGTCATGTTATGCGTGATGACTGCGTAACTACCTTGTGTTCTATTGAATTGGTTTATTTCTCATTTCATTCTGCTCACTGTAGCCCATCATAGCTGAAGTCATATTCCTTTGAGAACATGCCAAGGACTTCACACAACAATAAAATGAATGACAGATTATTTTTTTGTGGAATATACATAATATATGTTATCAATTAACCCTTAAGTAATCCTGTAAAATAAACTTAAGTCCAGTTCACGTAGACCCCATTTACACCTGGTTTTACCATCTGTTTTGGGTGATACAATAAAAAGTTGTCAGCTGTGAAACATTGCTGTTTAAACCTGGTATTAACATTAACAAATGTCTCACCGAACTCCGCTTCTCCATCTGCACCTGTCTGTCTGGATCAAGTTCATACTCCATCTAAACTGGGCCAAGTAGGCTGCACATGTAGAAGTTCCAAGAATGTTCCAGAAAGGCGACTCTTGGGAGGGGAGGGCGTTCTGGGCAGAGGCCTGACAAGTAGGCAAGAGGGGAGGATAAAGGAAAAAGGGTTGGATTGAAGCAGATTGTGACAGAGACTGAATGTAAACAGAGTCCGGCCTACATAGCACCTCAACACACACTTCTACAGCCAAACCGCTGGATTTAAGGCTTAGCGCTTCCACAAATCTCAGTGTATGACACTTACTCATGGATCTAAAACAAGATTCTGACATTAGCCCTGTCAGTCAGAGGATGGAGATCAGTTTGGACACAGGCTGTCAATCTGATGTGAAAGAGCGCACAGCTGGTGCAAGAGACTCACCCCAGAACTCCCCCGGCATGTTCAGAAAGCTGGTGGTG